GAACCTCGAGATCAGCACTTGCGTGCCCCATCGTTATCAGAAATTTTGGATGCAGACAGCTTGACAGCGGTCACAGAGCTCTTCTACAGTATGGTCATAAAACGACGTCTTGAATGAAGTGGCATTCTGTCGTCAGGTGTTTCACACCTCGTTGGCTCCTCAACCCAAGCCACTACCTACACCTCGACCGGAGCGGGCAAGTGGGACAACTCATGGTTGCGAAAACTTCCTGATGGCAAGGTATTTGCATGAGGTTCCACTTGAACAAGTGCAAGTCAGGTCGCACTTGCAGGTTCGCTCATCAATGCCCCATCCCGAAGTCCAACGGGGAACCTTGCGGAGGCTCACACACTGCAGCCAAGCACAAGGCTGCACCACACTGACCTGTTCAGCTTCTGGCTGACAATTCAGAGCCTTCACAAGCGTTGCAAGGCCTGGCTAATTTTGGTGAGGATCCACCCCAGGTGGTAGAAGTCTCCAGATCGCTTCCCAAGAGGCATCCTATTGCAATACAGTTTTCGACAATGGCGTCAGCCAAATTTTTTCTTAATATTTTTTTAGGTGCCACTGACTACTGCCTTAACGCATCTGTCGGGCGATCGTATCCAGCCAATTGACTTGATACATGGCCATGACCTACTCGATGATGAGGTCTTTGAGTCGGTTTTGTTCCTTGCTTCATCTGGTCGGATTGGAGCAGCTTTAGCCGCACCATACTGTAGCAAACATAGCAGAGCCACCTTGAAAGCACCTGGCCCTGCTCCAGTGCGCACGCCAGAGCACATCAATGATCATCAATGGCCTCCCAGACAACACCCCTCAACAGCAGTTGGCTGTTGAGGAGAGTGCAGCCATCCATGGCCGTTCTCCCATCTTGTTGTCAGCGGTGGACCAACATTCAGGTTTGGGGATTCTGGAGAATCCAGCAACCTCCATGACTTGGGATGATCCGCTCGTGTATCATTGGGTCCAAGCAGTCGCACCATATGCTGCTCAAGCATGCGCCTGTATGTTTGACCGTGACTGGCTGAAGGCATGGATGTTTGTGTCTAATCGCCCAGGCATTTTTGCCGTGGCAAGATCATGTCCCCATCTTCCGGGACGTTTATGAGTCGAATTACGGCGGAATATCCACCAGAATTGGCACGGGCGCTGGCTACTATCATTTCACAATATGTCACGACTGGTTCTGGTGAAGTTCCTCTTGAGCAATGGCAGCAGTTGTTGCCTTCTCGCCTTCAGTGGCCAGTCCTCATGAACCGTGTTGAAGATGGTGGTGGTCTTCCAAGCACGGCCTTTCATATGACAAAGTGCATTGCGGATCCACTGGTGAAGCTCAGGTCAAGGTGGTTTAAGAGGTTGGGTGACACCAGGCACTGTCTTAAAAACACTGCTGCTCTGATATCTGGGTGCAGGGACCATATGTGGAGGATCTTCTGGAAAGTCTTGGGCGCCCCCCAGGTGATCACTTGCTTCACACTCCTCCTGGCCAACCTTTTAGACTTCATCTATGGCATCGCTTGGCAGTGTTTCTGGGCGATCCGGATGCTGACTTTCTTCTCAGTTTGGAGAAGGGGGTCCCCTTGGGTGTGAACACGGACCTCATTCCATCTCCAGCACACGAGGGCGTTGTGACAGATCCAACACCCCTTTATTTGGATTGCACTGATTCATGGAACAGTGCTCAGGACCACAGGAAGAGTTGGATGCTGGATTCATTGCCCATGTACCTGGGGGCCTTGCCGAACTCAAACAGCAGTTTGAACGCACAGCAGTTGGTAAGCTGGGTGTGGTCATTGCGGAAGGTCGTTCACCACGCTTGGTTGTGGACAGTTCCATCAGCAATGTCACCTCCAACACGGTCATCCCGAACCACATGATGCTGCCACGTATTTCGGATATCCTTTCTTGTGCACCCACTGAAATGGCGCAACAGCAGGTGATCCAGCTTACGTTGGATGTCTCCAAAGCACACAGGCGCATTTTGATTGACCAGCAAGATGGTGGCATGTTATGCTTCCACGCCAATGGCCAGTTGTACCGCTGCATAACGCTCAACTTTGGAGCCCGCGCCAGCGGTTGGTACTGGGGCAGAGTGGCTGGGCTCATGGTTCGTACAAGTCATTCCTTGCTGGCCTATGGCCATGTCCTGTGGCAGTATGTTGACGACCTACTGGCATGGTTGGGCAAAGTCTCATGTCCCTTGTGGGCATCTCTGCTGGTTGTCCTGTTTCTCATCCTCGGCGTCCCCATGTCATGGCACAAAGCAGCGCTTGCCTGTGAAGTCAGCTTGGTCGATTTCGGTTCCACTGGAAAAATTGGCCAAGATCATTGACCAGGTCAATCGCGTGGCCAAGCTAGCCAAGGTGTCTATCAAAGACTTGCAATCATTGATTGGTCGTTTATTATGGCTCACTTCGGCCCGGCACTATTTGCGACCACTTCTGATTCCCCTGTATCGGGTGTTACATCAGATTCCAACTACTATGGTAGGTATGGGGGACCATGTGACTTTTCATTTGCTGGTGTCAAAATTGTCACCAAGCCCCAGTCTCACCCAAGATTTGACACACACCCACCAGTCGCTCTGCAGAGGTGTGAAACTCATACGGGTGGCCAACACCAACGTGCTCAACTTGGAGGACATTGACAAGTTGTACTTGAAGTCCAGCAGAGTCTGGGTGGGCATACAAGATCCGTCTTCACCCACCAGGACTCTGCATTCCGAGTCGCATGAGGCACTCCAAGTATGGGCCCATTTGCTGGGGTCGACGCCATTCACACTTTCGATGGCCCCTCCTGCACATGTCGAAGTCACAGCAACCGCAGATGCTATGGCCTCGATGAACCTCCCAGGTTTGGGAGGAGCTGCTTTCTTCCCAGATGGAAGTCAGGTCTGGTTTCAGTTTCAGATTACCCTGCAGCAGGCTCAATCATTGTGGCTGTGGGTCGGTGTGGATATGCAGAAGCACATTGCGGCGTGGGAATTGCTGGCCCAATTTGCTGATTCACATTGCTTTGTCATGCGCCTTCCAAAATGCCGAGGTCCCATCACCTGCCATCAAGGGACAGAAGACGCAGCCTCGGCCAAGGCCTGTCCATGACACCTGCAATGTCTACAGTGCAGTCGCCATATTACATGTATATGCGTCGCTTCCACGTCTATCCCAAGTTGAGTCACATCCCTGGACACCTCAACATCATCGCAGATGCATTGAGTCGATTCGAACAGCCTCTCCCAATACCGCTGAAACATGATGATTTTTGTGACGTGGATTGGCAGGCGCTGTTGAGTCTTCTCTGGTCGAAAGTGGCCATCGCATTTTGGCATTAGCATGCAAAAAAGTCGTGGCTGCAGTCCGCTGACTGTTTTCGTCAATCGAACGGTTTTCGGGGGAGTTATTGGCTCCGGCTGGTCGATTCTCGAAATACTTTGGTGTAGTGTATAACTCCCCACCTGTTGGACCAACCTGTTGGCAACCCCGTTCTTGGGTCTGTTCACCGTGGTTGGTTGTTTTGGGGGTTATCATTACTGATCCGTATTGGACTGTACCATAGTTGAACCCGCAGGTACTCGATTTGTGTACAGTCTTGTGATCTGTTTCGCACCACGTCCAAAATATGTGTTTATGCTGCTGCAGACTTTAGCATGCTTAATGTCTAGCTTTGCGTAGTGAAAATTGAAGCAAAGGAAACTGCACAGTGAACACGTGCGGTGCTTCAAAGGAAAAAACACACCAAAGAAAGCGTATACAAAGCGATTTCAAACCCAAGTCAGATCATTTCCATTCTCTCCACGAGAAACTTGTGAAACTCCCCGTGTCTCAGCTGCGCGCTGCAAAAAGGTGATTCGACCGATTAATTGAGAAATTTGAGTTCAGTGATGCGCATATATTTATATATTATAAATATATTTTTATGAAACGATTATTCTTACCGTGGCGATAGCCTCATTGACGTTTCTAGGTTTGTAAGTCCGTAATGACCTGTCGCGATATGGCGTAAATTTGGTTGTTTTGGTTTGGTTACAACTTTGTGTGATAAAACACTGCGCGCATGCAATGGGGCCAATGTAGAATGTAGACATACAGACTGTGCATGTACCGGCGTCCACAAAACACGGCCGAGGCACATATTCACCTCGATGCCGCTTATTGTCAGCTTGTATCGGATCCTGAGTCACAACAGCAATGCACGGCCGCAACACACCACGCAGGAATACGACTCTGGACGCATGTGCCGAAACAATATGACTGACTTCGCAGCGACCATTTCTTTGGCAAAAAAAATTGCACCGAGTCACGTGCAACAGTAGACTCCGGGACCGACTCTTCATACTGTAGTTGTACACCAGCTGCTCTACAACACACCTGACAGCCGTAGACAGATGCTGCATTGACGAAGTGTTTTGAAGGAACTTTTCTGGAGAGTGTGTCATGCGCCTTTACCTGGTTGGGTTGTGTGACACCCAGGTACAGGTGCACATGTCAAGTCGCGGCATCACAAAACTGGTTCCTTTCCTTTGTTCTCGTGTTCCAATCCACGCCTACCTTTCGATCTTTCACCTTCCCTCTCAAGTATGTTTACCGGGTGGTGATATATGTTGCGCGTCGTTTGAGTGTATCATTGGCTGACTTCGAACCAGTTTGCACCATGTCCACTAGTGTGCTGTTGCGTGTGGTTATTCCCCCTTTTTAATTCGATAGGGAGAGACAGGGATGCTTGAAGCGGAACAGAAGCTAGAGATGTGAACGTGCATTTTTCATTTTAAAACCTTCATGCATGTCAAACCACATGTGATTGGCCAAACCATTATTGTTGTCTAGTTTGAAAGATAGAGAAACGTGCAACATTTTGTTCAATCTCAAACAATGCTACATTGAAATCAATTTCAAAACACAGTGGTTTTGTGGACATATTGTCAAAGGTTCATGGAAACATACTATTTTGTTTTAACCGCAACATTGTGACCCAACACTCGGAAATTAGCCTTTTTTGGGGTCCGGTGTGTGGCGCAAGATGGCCTACTTGAACGCGACCAAGGTCCTCGGGGATGAACCAACCAACGAAACCTTGATGTGTTTTTTTTTTTTTTAATTTTTGGACACTTTGGATGAAATTATGCACCAGGTTATTGTTTGGACGGACAAACATGCAAACAGAGAGGGACACACACACACAAATGCAAATGAAATCAAATTGAAAAAACATGAAACACATCATTGTCATGATTCTCAAATGGAACATGAACTACGTACATTGTTGCTTATGACTTTTGAAATGCACATTTGCTTGCAATTTCGTTCAGGGTCCCAACGCCATCCTTTTTGGCACCGGTGAATACACCACTGGGTTGACACCATCTGGCCAAGCCCGGATCCTTGATCCTGTGCTGTCAATGTGTGAAAATTGGGTGGACAACACGAATTGGTAAAATTATGTAAAATGAAAAATAATACAATTATCTGTTTCCAATTGCGCAGGTCAAATCATGTTATTTGGCACAAAATATGGTCAAATGGAACCGAACTGTTTTTTTTCACATGGATCCAGTTAGTTAGTGCTCGCAATATCGTTTTGTGGCAACGATTGAAATGATGCATCGTTAATTACAACAATGAAACGTTCGACATGGTCAATGATGCGACACCAGATAAATTTTCGTTCAACATTTTTACAACATCTGAAAATTCAAAGATTTGGTATATTGCATTGATACTTTTTTGTTGCGACTTATTTGGGTGTTTTTACTTTTCGAATCCGTGTATCGTACGCTGCTACATAGGCAAAATCTGACAAATCTTTGGGAGTGGTCCGGCACTGAGATTGAAGAAATGGGTGTACCGCACTGTCACCACAGCAGTTTTTATTGATTGAACACATGTTGAAATTGCATTCATTTGACTGCGTTTTTTAACACAAATGAATTCAAATGATGGATCAGGTTGGTTTGACCTTTTTTGATCTGCGGGCCAGAGGCAAAATCGGGTGTGGTGTCCAAGTTTTGGTGAATGCGATGTATCACAGGGTATTGGCATTATTTCGGTAGAATGCACGGCCTCAACCATCAAACAGCCTGGACGAGCAACTCATTCAGTTATGGGTCAAATTCATAGTCAAAATCCGAAACCCGTGAGAGACCACATATTGGGCCATTTTAATTCTTGGGGTAGAAAATCTTGACTCACCCACTAAACGCAGATTGAACAACCGGCTTACCTGACTTGCTTTCGAGTTCAGATGGCTAGAGTTTTTCCAGTGCTTGGGACATACAAAGGTAAAAACATCATGCTGTTCATCTATTGTCAAAAAAACCGAGAAGCACCAAGTACAAATGACTCAGGATAAATTGGATTTCAACCCAGAAGCGTCCTTGTGGACAAAGGATACATAGTCGATGGATGTCGATGGTTCATTCTCATCAAATTTTGCGAATGCGGTCGAAAATTGCCATTTCACCGTCATCCAAGGGACCGCATCGCCTTGGTGGGCACCAGTGCAGAAAAGGAATCGAAGATCAGGGACCACTTTAGGTGGGGGCTGTGATGGGTTGTGATGATGTTGAGAGGTGTTAAGTTGGCACAGCTGTCGCAGTGTGACTGCGGATATTCAGCCAGGGACAATCTCACCTTCACCAACATTGGAAGCAAAGAGCCTTGGCCTTGGTGTGCCGTGAAGGGCTGGCTGGCCACAAATCCAGAGACGAAGGGATGGGGAACGAAAGCTGAAAAGGAAAGGACATGTTATTTTGGGGCAATTCATGCGGGAACTGAACCATGCAACTGTCCAGGTTCGAATTCTTTCCAAAGTCTGGAAAGAACCCAAAGGCCGGACGCAGCAAGGGAAAAGCCCTGTTCATGTCAATGTCTGTCTTACTGACTGATGTTCCAGTGCTGGTTCCGCAGCTGGTTGCAATCAGTGCAGCTCACCAGATTGGGACGTTAGATGACGTTAGTTGGTATTGGATTCATTGGATACAGGGGTGGTACAGTACGGGGTGCGCAGTTTATGAAGGTAAACCGCCTGTGTTATTCTGAAGCTTTGTGGCAATACATGTAGGATGAGATTTCCTAGACTTCCATCAGTGCATAAGATAAGGATTCCGGATTCGGTCTCCGCCAAATACTACCAGAAAGTGAGCAGATATTGATACACTCCTCATTTGGTTACCTCTTTGCCTAACAAGGACTCATGAATGCCATCAAAATGATTGATGGAAGAGTTTCTAGGTATATACTGATTGTACTGTTTCTAGGTATATAAATACATATATTGTATATTGTATACTCTTTGGCTTGCAGTTCTTTTGTCAACAAAGTACTCATTGTATAAATAAAAACATATATATATATATATTATATATAGTACTCCAATATATATATAGTACTCCAATATATATATATACATTAATTGATATGACACATGGGCTAAAGTGCAGAACACTCCTGGCAGGCATATGAGGAAGCTATCAAAGCTTTCACACCAGGTGATGTGTGCACTGTGCCGGGTGCCCCAACCGCGGGGCCTAGTGATGATTTGCCAATTGTAGTCGCAAACATGGACGGATGTATCTGATTTACATTAGTGGAAAGTGGAACAGATCCTGTGCATTGCTGGCATTTGATGATAAACACAAACACTTGCATTGCCAGATGCCACTGTAGCGATCCTGTTCAGTAGCAGTCTCAGAGTCTCACTTGTCTTAGATCATCCAATCTGCCAGGTAGTGGACTTTATGTGTTTCAAGTTGTTTCTATGCACGATAAAGTCCACTACAGATTGCCAGGATTGTAGAGGGTACTTCATGAACTTCATGACCCCACACAGTCACCTTGTGTTGGAGACCCATGGCCGCAGAATCAGGAAACCTTTGGACCAAAAATAGCGCCACCATTGCCATCGTTCATTGATAACACAGTACGCAAAAACATGTTGCCACTAGGAATTTGTATGCTAAAGCTATATTCTAGATTCTAGTTCCAGGCCTTCCCATCTTGTCCAGAAATGAAAACAGTGTATTCTTTATTCTACTGCTGTCCAACAGGTCCTCCATGAAAGTCATAGGCATTGATTCATTGTGGTGTTGTAATCTGTTGTATGTATACAATTTTTGAAGTTGCTTTCTTTTAGACCTGGGGACGTGTGCATGAGCTCCATCGATGGGTCTTCAACTGCTATCAATGACCAGGTTCACGCCAGATGACACTCACTTTGAAACTTGGTGTGCAACTGGCACCCAGTGATGTAGGTGCTCGATTCGATGGCAACCGTCAGTAGTACCAAGGTAGAAAAAAGTACCCAGACTGAAATCCTGGAGCGATCTAATACAATCTGTACTGAATGTAATAGCATCACCAAGATGCTTTGTGACAGCTGTCTCACTGAGAGCCATTTATATGCTGCCGGCATACGATCCCAGTGAAACATGCTGTATACATATACATATATATATATATATTGTACATACAAATACACATGCACGTACACATATACATATGCATAATACATAGGCACATGCTGTACCATCTTTTCTTTCAGAATATGTGAGCAAAAACATGTGGTCGTTTGTTTGTGCCAAAGCTTGATGGAGCACTTTGGCACTGGACAACGGCTTTTAACCACCTCAGGGCGTTTGTTTGAGAAACATGTCAATGTTTTGTTGGACACAGAGCGCGGCAGGGGCAGCCACCAACACAGTGTTTCAGCACGTTTCTGGCCAGGAAATCTGCAAGGCCGCCTTGCAAGGTGGACTCCATGTCTTGGTGTCCGGGACCCAGATAATTTGAACATGTTGGACTTGAAATTTGCTGTTGAAAACAGATACTAATTTGCTGCTGAGCCATCTTGGAGCAACTGCTGACTGCTCCCTTCCGCCTTGGCCGCCTCGGCCACCTCGGTCCTTAGGACTAAGCCGATGGTCAAGACCCTGGCCCAGCACAAGGAGCTAGTGGGCCCGGATGTCCAGTATAAAGTGCAGGTGGGGACTTTGAAAGAGCATGTGGGCAGGAGATTTCCAGGAACAGCTGGAACAACCTAGGATGTACGATAGACTCCAATAGACTTATATACCATTTGAAGGCTTTTTCATTCAGTCCACAAACCTTTTGCTGAGGTATCGCTAAGGAGAAAGGCGTTCTCTTGCAGATTGAGGCGGGGATGTGGTGTAGGTCGATCAGTTTAGAAGTGCTGAATTATTGGATCATTTCAAATCAATCTGGATCTTGTTCAAATTTGTTCAAATCTGTTCAATGCTTTTTCGATGCGTCCACAAGACATTCTGAGGTCCACAAGCGCTTTGACCCCATCTATAACGATGCGCGACAGCGCCTTCAGACTCTGGGGAACTTTGGGTGTCTGGGCTGCAACTCAGGATCATCCCTTATCCGCCCTATCGGATGTACGATTGGTAAGAAATTGTGGAGTATCATTCATGTCATGTCATGTCATGTCATACATCTGGAACCAAGTTGTCCTTGGTTCCGGGCCTGTGTGCTGATATGTGCTTTACATGCAAAGCTTTCTCTTAGCACAATGTCGAGGTCGTCCAACATGCTGGATGATGTGTGACTATTGCAATAAGATGTTTGTCATGGAAATGGTCAGAACGTGAAAATGGATGATCTCCAGATTGAAAGTAGACAGATTGTATCATAGTTCCCATAGTTCCCAGTCATCCAAGTTGGGAATCCAAATTGCATGTTGTCTCGGGACCTCAACGAACATATGGTCCTAAGGGATTCAACATGTGTCTTTCTAACAAGGTAATTTGATGTCATTTGTAGTCGTAAAATGTTGTAAAGGATGACAAGTTTCAGGTGGCTGAAACTGACTCCGATTGAGGTACTTTACCTCCTTCATGTCTCAGCGCAGGGCTAAGCTTGCCTCCCGAATTCATTTTTATTGCTGTTCTGGATATGCTTGCGTTGTGATGTGAACACTTGCCATTCCAAGCAGAAAGACCGTTGGAGTTTAAGAGACTTTGCATGCATGCTGTTCAGATCTGAGTATGAACTGGCTGCTGATCATCAACATGCACACGCACAATCACACACACACAGGTTGTGTTGAGTTGCTGCTTATGGATGAGGTAATGTAAGAAATTGTTATAGGTGGGCTCTTGCTAGCCGATGCTTCATTGGACGAGGCCCAAAATGCAGCTCGAGACCTTTCGCGATTGGGACGGGAGAACCCAGTCTGGAACCTCCTCGTGGTTGGTGCAGAAAATGTGTGTAGAGAATCTTTTCATGGATCTTCAGCCAATCGACTGTGTCTAGAGAATCCTTCGACTGGTTTTATGGTAAGACAGATGGTAAACCCAAGATGCGATGAGTTGGAGCAAATCGTTGAGGTCAACATGCAAAAGCTTTCTCGATGGGTGAATCCTTATCCGGATAGTAGCGGATAGTACATGTTAGGCCAGTGGCACATGGTATATAGATATCCCAGTGACTGCCAGTGACCCATCTTGTGACCATCACCAAGGCTGGTATCTCTTCTGACATCTCGCACCCTGTTTTGGAGAAAGCAAGAGTGATTGGGATCCTGATGGACACTGCCAACGCCCACAGTCGAAAAGGTAAACGTGATTCAGACTGATGTAACTGATGTACCTTACAGCACAAAAACCAAGGTCAACTTTGAACCCTCCTTCCAGGAATCCTGTTCTCGGGCAAAATCCACCCTGTTAGATGAAAGTAGTTGGGGCTGACCTCGGGTTGAGGCTGGTCAAGAGATATTTTCAGCCTGTAGTTAGAGCTTACCTACGAGTGCTTCTTCTGGCCAAAGCACATGTGCGTACGCATGTTACATGTTGAACATGTAGATGGCTTGGTTGTGTGCATGAGGACAGCTGGCCCATATTTGCGAGGTACTATCTGAACTCTCATCATGTTGACTTCCATGTGTGGTCCTGAGTACTTCCATTTCCATGAGCATGGTTTGGTGCTTGCAATACTCTAAGTCGCTGGAAGGGCGATGTGTAGCGATCATGGCTCTCAGGAGAGAATTTCATAAGGAACAAGCTCCACCATTCAGCAACCAGACTGACATGGCAGGGCCAACGAAATGGGCCATTGCCAGATTCGCTAGTTGAAGGTGCTAAACTTTGTTGAACAGGAACACTATTTTGGTTCCCATGAAACTTGCCCTAGCCTAGCTTCCAACCCCATTGTCCTGACAAGAGTGGAGAGATGTGTGACTTGAGGTTTGGGCCATGCAGGGTATTGCCAAACCTGTCAGCGTTTATGCCACAGCGTTGGGGGCTCAGCAAGCTGCCGATTCGGATTCGGTTGCTGATTTCACCGAGCCACTGAGCAATTCATCACCGTTGAGGTCTACAGGGACAGCTGAGAAGATCCTAGGGCGGCCTTGCGAGGTGAAGGGAGTGGTCGAATATGGTCGAATATGGTCGAATAGATTCATCAAAAACAATCAAGAACAGGCTTGGGAAGCTATGGTCTCCAAACACCAAAAGGACTACATCTTGTGATCTTACATGGCAACGATGAGCAACTGGTCACTTTAATTGTTTTCTTTGGAGTAGCACTGGGCTGATGTTGAACTCCATGTGCATGGCTGCTAGACCTCTTCCAAAGAAGATGAGTGAAGACGAGTGTTTCGAGAGTCCTCGAAGACTCTAAGAACTTATGAATAATCTCTAGGTTTGAAGAAAGTCTTCTGATCTCTGAATCATCTCATTTTTTCATTTGTTCTTTGAACATCTTTTTTGATGAGGGCACTGGCATCGACAGGACACCATCACATTGAATGTGGTGTGGCAGAACCATTCCGGGCCCTTGACTTGGTGGATAGGGGAGGCCTCGGGAGGCCTCTTTGTTTGGAAAAACCTTTTCAGCTTGTTGCATCTGGTCGCCCAGTGCAAAAATCTCACTGCCCTCATCGCCATCACTGGACTGACTGGCCTGACCGCCTTACATGGGAAGGATCCAGATGATAAAAGGTATTATTGGCATCCAAATATATAATTGCAATTAGTACAAAGATGTTGTTAGGATCAAATATCGATCCACCAGCGACCGCCAAGGAGCACAGGACATGCGTTGTATACTTCATCTTGGACAGCCAGCAAGGTACCCACGGGCTCAAAGAAAAAACACATTGGACCTTTTAGAGATTTACAAACGCCGTGTATCTAGGGCCTCCAGGGATGCAATCCTGCTCTCTTTGGATTTTCCTCAGTTACTTTTATCTGGGAGAGATGCCCTGTCGCTTGAGAGTTTTTTTTTCATGGCAACAGGGTGCACCTATTGAATGTGACTATGAATCATCTCTTGGCACCCAATGGGATTGCCGGCTTTCGTGTTGCAGACACTTCTTGTCCAAAACCCGAAGTTTTTCAACTGTCACCTTCTTTGTTGTCAAAGGGCAAGTATTGGGGAAAATTCGAAATGAAGTCTTTTCATAGATCCTTGCTCGGGTTTTTAGTCTTGTGAATGACGTTGGGATCAAGGGGTAGGTTGCACTATTCCGACGCGCCTGCCAGTCGGATGTGCACTCGCAGCAGCGTTTCTTTTGTCAGATGGAGACGGCGGAAGTGACCGTTGACCAGGTGCCATATTGAGCTCTCTGTGAAGATCTCAGTTGCCGTTTTCAGCAGGCGGTTCTCTTTTGAATCACAGAGGCTCCGAATAAAATATATAAACGTTTTGGTTTGATAGATTTTGATCGTACAAGATACTCTGATTGCATGACCAGATCCAGTAGCAAATCCATTTGTTATTGAATCTTAATCGATGATGAATGATTCGACTGCCGATATTGGAGGCTCATCGTGGCTACTATGTGGCCGAAGATGGCGTGGGGTGAGAGTCTCACGTGTCATGCATGGTCCTGTGTTGGAGAGATCTTGTTTACAGTGTGGGCAGTCATCCTGGAGTCATCAGAACAGCCCAGTATTCCCAGTATTCCCAGTATTCCCAGTATTCACTTTAGGTGATACGAACCCAGATTCCCCAGAAGAAAGCGGTCACATTTGTTGTCACGAAACGTCTAAGCAAATACTTTTGTGGTGTATATGGATGGCCTGAGCCCTGCAATGACGTTGTCTAATGGATGTGTAGAAACCGGCGGTTCACGTTGGGAAGTGCTTAACACCAAGGTTCAACTCGTGTAACCCGCTCTTCATCAGAAACAAGCCGGACTGTGGAAGCGAGGGTTGGTAGAGGCAGACAAGTTCCGTATAAGTTTGGTAGTAGGTTGGGGATAATTCAGAGGTTGGTGCAGTACCCCATGATCCAAACTCAGCATGTTTCACATTTGGTGGATTTGTTCAAATTATTCACAGGCCAGTTCTCCCAAAAAGTGGGTTCGCAGCGGATCTGTTGAGGACTCAATGGGGCGCTATGTTGGGCAAGGCTGCTATGGGTGCGGTGTCTCAGGTAATATCTGTCTGATGGTGTTTTGTTAGGCAATTTTTTTTGAGAATCGAAAACAACATCAGAATCAGTGGTTTGAAGGAATCCTGGAGGAACACAGTAATTTGGGCGTCCTCTCTTTGGGTTTCATCAGCTTAGATTAGATGTTCAAACCTCCAAATCAAACAAGAATGGGAGCTTGCAATCCATTTCAGGACTGGGGACTGAAAGAGTGTTCCGTCCAAAGGCTAGGCTTTGCAGATCAACATTCTTATGGAGGTAGTTGAAACATGTTCAAACCCCAAAAAGATCCCTTGTTCTGCTACAAAAATGAGTTGGTCACTTCTGGGTTGCACTCCTCCACGTCCACATTGAGGTACATCACCTTTGAACGCTTCGTGGAAGCAGCTTCGGCCATCACCAAGGCTTGGCGCGGCATGCTGCAGGGCCCAAAATAACGGTGGGGTCCCAGAACTTGAGACCTGCTGGAAGTGGCATGATTCAGCTGCATATCCCATTTGAGCTGTCCAGGGCTCTGCAAAACCCAGTGATTTCGATACTGAACTGCCAACTGGCTACTCCACCCTTCAGGCGGGTGGGAAAGAAGGAAGAGGGCTTGAGCAGCAGAAGATCAAAACCATCTCTTGGACTGCGGGAGTGCAAGAGTTTGATGGATGCAACTAGCTGCAACACTTACGTATTTTTATCCATTTGTGCCATCATGCAAGAGACTCCCATGTATTTCAAGCGTTGGGGATTGCTAAAGTAAGATGGTTTGTTTGGTGATGTTGTGGGTTCAACAGAATTTGCTCATTTCCTCTTGCAGGTTACGGCCATCCTGGAGGTGCTTCTGCAGGGCTGGAGAGTGCCGTCAACAATGGAACATTTTGCCATCAAAAAACATGAATCATTCTAAATTCAAATGAGAAGAACAGATTCTACTCTACGGTATGTTTTTTATTGCCAAAACGGACGCGGTTGCAGAGGGGTATGTGCCTAGTGTTTGATGGAAACTGTTGTATATATTTGCCCTCCTGGGGTCTGCAACAGCAAACAGCCTGTGTGCTAGTCATACGTTTTGCACGTTTGAAACTGCAGTGAATTCGACCACTCTCCGCCTTTGACAGATACTGGTGGAGTACATACTGCGCCATCGATATTCAGTTTGAGACCTGTAATGGGGTCATGATCGAAAGCCTCCACTTGTTCTCCAGCGAAATGAGCAGGCTGGTCGAAAGTCATTGGATGAAAACAGGGTTTGGGAACTCGGAAGGATGCAAGGTTTACACGAGGTGTTTGTGTTTGTCGTCGCTGTTCTTGTTCTCGTCGTTCTTACTGTCAGACTGTCAGATGAATGTGTGCTCGTTCTTTGATCTTTGACAACTTAAAATTCTCACAAATGCTTCGTCTAGCAAACCTTTCACCTACGGTCACCTTGTTACTTCTGCGTTGCATTTTCAAACCTCAAGACTTTTGCTGTTTGTCTTCGATGAACGGGTCTCTGACACCTGAAGCATCCGAGGTGGTTACCATCATCTACGATGACCAGGGCGAGGCTACGGGAGGGTCAAAATTGATTCAACATCCTGTGTTTGAGCATTCATCGATTTCACCCGAGCTCATTTGATTCCAGTGTTGAGATTATTCCACTTGACATTGGTGTGTCAAAAAATTGTGTCCTAACTCTTTCCTATCTTTCCTGAAACAGCTGCAATAACTTGAAACATGAAACTGCCAGTTTTACCTTGCCTTGTGATGGGACATTCCGAAAGCACAAATCATGAAGACACTAACCGTGGTTAGTGGCGATGAGGTTGATCGCCTCGATTAGGCTGGCGGCGTTGCTGGGAAGGTCTCTTTTGATATGAAGCATAGCCTACAGAGCAGCAAAGGGATACCAAAGAGTTAACTTAGTTAACTTCAACCGGATTCGTGTGAGGAGCAACAGTCACAACATGTCCCTGTAAATAAATCTCATTTTTCGACGTGAAGCTTACAATCACGACCGCACGGCTCGCCGTTGACCACAACCTCGTGGCTACTTGTACTGACATCGATTCAAAGCAAAAAGTCAGTTTGAGTGTGACGTGCGGAGAGACCTCATTTGCGCCGGGATTTTCGATGTTCCATGGGATGCTTTTCATGTTCCTTCTTCCCGTGCAAGCTACCGAAAAGAGGCAAAAAAACTGAAGTGAGATATTTTCCAATGGGCCCAATGGCTTTCACCTCATAAATCTATTGTTCTCCCAAGTGAGGACTTGCAGGTCAATGGGTAACCATGCACGAAGATTAGCCAACCCGGGATTGCCAATTTATCAGTCATGGGTCATGGGCATGCCGACATTGATTTCCAGAAGGCCACAGACACCCAGAAACACGGCATTTTGCCCATAACGATCGGTGGTAAATAAGCTTCGCATGGCTACAAATTGACAGGCCCCCCCCAAATCCACCAATTTGACGCTCACGTCCCTCTACGGGTTTTGCGCTGGTTTTACCATGATGAGAGGGATCCCAACTTCTCGATGGGGTGGGGACCCTGGCTGGTTCCACAGACAATCTTTGCATGGTGATCATGAACATTGCCACATTTAGCCTTTGATATTGAACATATTCCAAGTTGGGGAGAATGCAAATACCTTTTCCAGGTTCAAATTCAAGTGTTTGGATGATAATCACAAAGAACATACATACAAGTTGGATGACCGGCTGCAGTTTTTAGGATTAGCCAGTTCTGACCAACCCAGAAAAACATCAGCAGAAACGTACGAGTGCAGACTTGGCATGGACTGCAGATACTTTGAGCGGACAGAGTGACCATTGACTTGAGTCTTGAAATGAGTTTTTTTTTTCTCAAGACAATGCACGGCCAAGATACATTCTTGGTTTGACTTGCTTGTATCGTTGCCACTTCGCCATGGCAGACCCAGGGGCTTCTGCCTACCCCCCAAGTTATCCCCCACCAGAGGGCTATGCCTATGCCTACGGTGCGCCACCTCCAGGCTATCCGCCGCCCAGTGGCTATCCGCCATCCGATCCCTACAGCGGTTACCCAGCCGCCTATGGAGCTCCACCTCCAGGCTATGCCCCGCCGCCCAGCTATGGCTATGCCCCTCCCCCTGCGGGCTATGCCCCACCGGCAGATGCCTATGGCGCGGCCTATGGGGCACCGCCCAGCTATGGTGCACCGCCGCCCAGCTATGGCGCGCCGCCACCGGGTTATGGGGCGCCACCGGGCTATGGAGCTCCATATGGCTCTGGAGCCACCTCTTCTTCAGCACCAGGGTACGGAGCGTCAGAACCTCAGATGGGAAACTAGGAGACTAGGAGACGAAACAGGCCAGGACAAGAAAAATAATGGTAGGATTGTCCCCATTTGAGCCCTTTGCAAGTGGATGATGTTCTGGGAGGATTATGTTTTGGATAAGTGTTTGGGGTCGAGAATGGTTGTTCTTGCCTCCCAGTTGTCCACCACTTGTCCAAGCCACCTGAGAAGGACACGTCTCATTGCATAGTGCTTTGTGTTTCTGTGTTCAACCAGATACGTTCACTTGAGGTATGACAATTCTTGTGGGTTTCACCAATGCTTTTGTTTCAGCTGTCTTCAAACTGGCGGTAGCACTGTAGTCCAAGGTTAGAGAAGACCTCATCCTCCGTCGCCTAGCCATGGCTTGTGTTTACACGAAGACGCTTTGCAAAGGTGAAAAGTCCAATGAAAAAAATACTTTGCTAGTTTATGGGCAGCGTTTCTCATGGCAGGGACACTGCTTGATCCACCGCACTTGGCCAGGGCCGACGAGAGCAAACTTCGGCTCCCCGAAGAGATCGGGACAGAGAAAGAGAGCCGTGGGGCGTCCCGGAATGGCAACCCAAACTTGTAATTTTGGAAAAGCAAATTGAATCAAATTGAACCTGTTGCAAAGCTCGGATTTAATCCAAATCAAGCGCGTGTTGTTGCAGCAATTGAAGGTGATCTTGGGTTAGTAAAAGGCGGCTAAAGTTAACCAGTTAAACTTATGCCGGATTGCAGCGGGTGCTGAAGCCTACCCTCACCATTGTGTACACGGCTACTTCTGTTACTGTTGCTCTGTCACGTTGATTTCCGATGCATTAGAAGTCATATTTGTTGTGGAAGACTACCTCTTCCGCAGGGTTCAGCCACCTAGGCGAAGAGCGCCGGCCAGGAGTGAGCCAGGCCTGGAAGATTGCCAGAATCGAATGACTTTGTGATGAGGAGCGAGACATCTAGAGTGAAAGGAATGTGAAAGAACATTATTGTTTTGGAATGTACCTTATAGAACAAATGCACCGTCTGTTCTTATTTTCTCCAGTTTTTGGACATGCTTTCATTATCCGGCCCCTGTGATCGTAGGTGACAAGAACAACAAGAAGGTGCTGCCACAGGGCCATTGCCGGGAGCAGTGGTACTTTGCACACATTTTTCCGTTTCATATTTCTTGAATTCAAATTTACTTTGAAAACATCAGAACATTTGAGCGTTTCATTCGACAGAAGAAAGTGGAAGAAATCCCTTCAGCCTTCAGCTAAAGATCACCACCAGCAGCAGCAGCAGCACCAGCAGCAGCTCAGTAGCTACCATATTTAAGTATTTCGATTTGTCAATCCATTTATATACATTGTGCCGAATTGTGGCCTTCAGGGTGAGAAGAAGGGTTTGGCCCTTAGTGAACTCTTAGATTGGAGAGATTCAAATGGCTTCCCGAGATTTGGTGCCCCGTCTTGGTCGAAGGCAGCCATTTGCAGTGATTCTGCAACGAAGAGTGCAAAGAGTACGTTCTCATTGAGAGATGTGATCTATTTTCTTTTTATTTTCTTGGACAGACAATCACTTACCCAAGATGTTTCTGCCGACTCGGTTGCCGTTTCTATTCAAAAGACATGGCAGCTTGGTCAGTTTAGGAGTGTTAGGAGTGACACACAGCGCCGACGGCTATTGACAGCTGAACAAGTTGTCCAGCGAGACAGAAGACTCCGTGGACTTCAGCTAGGGCCGCTAGGGTTTGAGTGTTCTATCAGCCTCTAGATGCGGAGCTGGACTGTATCACTGATACTGATCATTGCATGGTACGAACTGTGACCAAGGGAAAGGAAAGGGCAAGTCGAAGGACAAAGGTTCGAAAGGCCCTGGCAGAGGGGTTGAAGGTAGATTGGACATCCTCAACTTGATTCTATAGAATCCGCTGGAACGACATGCTATTAACCTCACGTCTGGACATGGTGGTTCCTGTCCCACAAATCTCTCTCTACATTGTGTGTGTGTAAAAAAAAGAGGCAGTCAAGTGACAGTCAGGTGGATTTTCGCAGCTAGTGGCTAGTTCAGTGTTGCAACTGTTTACATTGCAGTCGCAGGTGAGAGGAAAGACAAGCCGAAACAGCAAGAAGGACATGGTTGCAACAGTACCAAATAGCGGACTTATACGCATAATTGCTTCCAGTAGAGTGAAATGGTGCGTTGTTGCTGTGCTGGGCATTCACATCCTCCCGCACCGGTGGCAGGAGGTGAGGAGCAGCCTCAGGACCACATGGCAGACGTGAAGCTAAAGCAGTGAAGGGATCTGAATTCATTTGGCAGCGGTTGGCTGGTTTGAAAGTTTGTGGAATCCATATCCAGCACCGGGTAGTGGAGCCTGCTCGTTGCTCGGTCCTTGCTCCGCCTCTCTGGCCTTTGATCCGACCCAGGACGGCAAGGCTGAAACAAAGGAGGGCAAAACCGATGGCAAAGGAGAAGGTAAAGATGGTAAAGGCGAAGGCAAAGGAAAGGGAAAGGGCAAAGGAAAAGGAGGAGGCAGGGTGCATGATCATGCGAGGAGCTCTAGTCGCTCCAGTGGCTCTCGTGGTACGTTTGTTTGCCCGAGAGATGGGATGGGATGGAGGGCATGGACTGGAATGAGAGCCAGGGCGGGATTGCGACACGTTCTGTCTCTCTCTCTCTCTCCCTCCTTCCCCCAAGATCCGCCCTGTGTTTTTGCAGGAAACACTTAGTCACTCCTTCTTTTTGCTTTTCAAGCACTGAGAGGTGTTTGACTAGTTCGAAGTCTGAGCATATGTAGTAGCATGTTGAAAGTTGAAACGTCCACAAAATGAAGCACAGGCAAAGTGCTCCAATTTCCCCCTGGCAGTGAATCCATCATACCAAGCGTGCTCCAGGCAAGGGCAAATTCAAGGGCAAGGCTTGGTTTGTTCTGTCTTGGTGCCATTGGGCAAGATCAACATATCTCGCCTTGGCCCTCTCAGAAGTTGAGGAAGAATGTGTCATAAATGAGTCATAAAGAAATGCACTGGAATGACGCAATTGAAAAATCCACGGCATTTATCATGATTTATTATCTACAACTGTGACTCACGACATCTCACGACTCAGTCTTCGAGACATGACTCTGCTAGGTGGCCACCAAAATAGCGTGGGGAGAGCTGGGAGCCAAGCATGGACGCCAGAACGGGGAGATTCACCAAGTCACCGTTGTCACCGTTGTTTGTTTTTCCCAAATTTCCGCCCAAACCTTGTGAGTTTCTCTACTCCCAAGGTATTCCCAGTTGTATTTTTGGAATCTGAGACGAGTTTGTGGAACACCCCCTCCAACCTGGAGACATGGAGTGGCTGGAGTCTCGTAGTGCCCACTCACTAGGCCTTGCTTCGTTGGACGCTTGCGGACCTACAATGCGGAGAAGAAGGCAGTGGCTGGTGGCTTTCACTCTTTTAGATCAGAAATAACAAAGAGACAACGGTGTTGAGACTTTGATTTGTCTTGACGTGGGACAACATCAGAATCAGCATTAGCAGCATCAATATGAGCAGCAAAATTTGATCAACACCATCAGCGAAGCCCAACAGCGGCTTTGCCACTATGGCACGAACTTTTGATGCCAGGCCGGCGTCATAGCTTGCGCTGAAGCTTACGCCATGTGTGGCTCAGGGACCCAGTCAGCCAGGATGGGAACAGGGTCAGCCTCTGTGGGTAATTTCACTGGGAACTGCGGGATCTGACCAATCTGACATCTGTATCAGATGGGCTGAGGCCAAGAAGTCTATGCCTATGGTTCCGTTTTGGAGACGGCCAACGTGGGGGTGCGGATGCCAATAGTAAGCTCAAGCTGGTGTCGAGGGGAGGATGAGAAACAAGGGCTTCATCTTGCTGAAAGCTCCCAAGGGATGGTGCTCTCTGGCCTCTTTAGATCTTTTCTCTCCCCTGCAAAATGCATGGAGAATGGATGAACGATGTGACTTTTTATTTAGTCCCATTGTTTTGAAAAGAAGTTCTATTGCAAGTGGTGGCTTGAGGTGGGAGACACCTTGGTGTTCTTCATCCATTGGCACTTCGCCCCAGAGAATTTGGGGAGCGTAGCCGCGGCCATGCGGGGACTGTTTGTGAGAACTCGTAAAGTTGGAACATGGTTTCTGTTGAAGGTGCCAAATGACTACAACTGTTTGTTGCTGGGGAGAATTTGTTACAAGATGATACAAGATGCAATAGAAAGCAATGTCCTTCGGTCTGTCTTCGACATCGATATTTACTTTCCTCTTGGAGGAAAAGTTCCCATTTGTCTTGGCATTCTCATTTGGTGGCTGAGGTCCAACTGGGGTCAGCCGCAGGCGTCCTATGAGCTGGGCATCTCAAGTGCTGTGGATGCTGACGTTCCGTGATTTGATGTCTCTGGGATTGGCTTTGCTGAAGAGGAGGTCACAACATTGAAAACTAGATAAAACTAGTTGATAGTTTTCAAAGAAGAACCCATTTGACTTGACCATTCCAGGCCCATCTCCCATATCTTGCGGGAGATTCCTTCGACCAAAGTGAAATGGATGAATCGGCCTGCACCACCCCATCCATGTTCGATGTAAGCTGCCAAGATCTGCCAAGGCTGCTCAGGATTCATGCAATGAACGGCATGGCCCTGAAAGGCTGGTGGCCGGTGGCGGTATGGGATGTTTGTTTGGCGGCCAGGGCTCTGAAAGGCTGACAAATCATGCTGGATACTTTGTTTGGCCGGTTGGTCACATCGTGCAAGCATTTGCCAGACACAAGCGTTTTCCGAATGCATTCCTGGTTTTGCAAGCCTTGGTGTTGTCCTAATGTGCGTGGGTCGTAGGCGCACACCAGTCCTCGGCTGGTTCATGTTGATAGAATCCTGACAACGGATCTAGTGGAGCTGTGACCAGCTGCCAATCTTTGCCATTCGCTTCATCTCCCGCAGGCACCTTCAAGGCCGCAGAGGCTGACAAGGCGTTCATGGATGCCCACGGCACATCAGAGTCATGGCTCCCATCCAAGTGGACTACTTCTCCGAGCATTTTTATAATCCAAACAGCCCCATGACACTCCATGACACCACATGACAACCCATGACAACCCATGACAACCCATCAACAGTCGGTCTCCACCCGGCTGTCAGGGCTTCGGCTTCATTGACTGTCCGGAAGCGAAGGAATACTTCGGTCGGGACGTCTATGTCAACAAGGTGTCGCGGTGGCTTTTGCTGATGATGTTTCGTTTGCTGCCATTACTTGTAGTCGCAGTAGCGCGTTTTCTGAAAATGTTGCTTCAGAATGAACACATTTGCTTTTTCTGTCGTTTGAAACGTGAAGTTATGACATGACAAAGCATGGAACGAAAATAGGAAACACTGAATCACAGTAGGCAAGGCACCACGAAAATAGTTCAGAGATGAAACTTCGTGATCACTGTGGCTGAATCGGATCTTGCCATATGTGTAGCATGAGGAGTTTGCCGCCGGTTTGCAGACGGGTCAATGGTGCCTTGGCTGCAAAGACAACAGGCTGATCACTCTAGGGACACATCCTCACAGGTTTCGACCCGGCACCATGAAGAGAACGGTTGCGGGGATCGGGTTAAACAGCCAGGGGGACAGGGCATGAGCCTGATGGCAGTGACAGACAAGTTTTTTGTTCTGTTTGTTTTTTCTTTCAACATCTTGCATGTCAAACCGTCAACTACAGCTGCCCATTGACATTTAGAAGCACTTCTCAACCTTGCATCTTTCCGCACACGTTACCCATTTTGGTGGAACGTTCCAAGGGTAAGCTTCAACGTGAAGTTGAACAGAGACATGATGTTTGCGACTCAGCGGTTGAGATGCTGTGATACGATACTTACCGCCTTGTGCTTGGCAGGAAACAATTTTCCGTGATGGAGGAATGCAACAGTAGGTTTGTTGTATTATTCTCCTCGTTCCAAGCGCGAAGTGACCAGATTGACATGGACTGCCACAATCCTTTTGAACTCCCAGTGCTCACTACTGATAAAAGACCCTCCGGGAGTGAAAGTACAAACGCTTTCGGTATTATTTCAGGGTGTTACGTTGTCGATTTTGAGTTTGTGCTTCCTTCCAGCAGTCTTAGCCTCAGCCCAGGCCCAATGTGACGGAAGTGGCCCTGGTGGATGAGGACTGGAAACCGAGTCAAGGTGACCTTTCTGAGAGCAAGGCCAGGGGCGGGTGTGGGACAAAGTGAAGTTGTTCTGAATGTGGTCAAGCTGCGATTTTTTGTTTAAAATAAAGATATTTTCAAATATTTTTATCAGTTTTTGCCACTGCCTTCCATGTTTTTGTTTCTCAGTTCGTCAGGGTTTCAATTGATGTGGCTCAGCTCGCCAGGAGGCAGATGATGTGCCACCATCCTGGGAGTCCAGCAGGGGGACCATTTGCTCTCCAAACTTTTGAAAGTTTGCTGGGTCAAATTGCCATTGGATTGTAGCTTGGAGAATCTTGGAGATTGAATCGATAGGATTTCCACATAATTCCTACATAGGTCATAGGACTACGGACCTACAGTTCTGACTCCAATGCTCATTCTGATGTACTACGCAAGCAATGACAGCAACATCTCCACTAGTCAGGTCACTTCAGTTGGTGTTGGTGCGGGAACATTGTCATTCTTGCATCAAGAGTTAGTTTGATTGGACATCCCAGTCAGCCACCTTCCGGTAACGACAATTTTACTTTGAGGAATCTAATGGATTTGGAGCTCCTTACTTTTGGGATTCACGCCGTTTCTTTGCTTTCGTCCACAACATTCTTGCACGCCCTGATTTGCCGCTTTTTGCTCGAAGTGATCACCTGCCCATTGTGTACATAGACTATCCAGCCCGTTTCTGACACTGAACAGCTGCGGATCACCTTGTTTTAGTTATGGATCCTGCCGCTTGGCTGGGCATTTGATGTGGGTAGAACCATGTGCAATTTGTGTGTTCCACCTTGCATTTCAGCTTGATATTTTGCCCGTTCTCTCAGCACTTGGTCTGGTTTGTTGTTAGGCATGCCTAGGCCCTGTTCACAGAAGCAGTGTCCAACTTCACAGCTCAGAAAGTGCAGTTTCTACTCCTACCGGGACCTGGTATGAACTCCCCTTCCTAGAGCCTCCAGGAGCAGATTGAGCCAACTGAAACGGATGATTCCGTGTCGGAGGCCTCTGTGACTACCGACCAAACAGGTGCTGGCAGGGGGGTGGTGCAAGGGCCGCAAGCAGTATTCAAGACTATTCAAACTGTTTTTATCGCACTGTGACCTCTCCACTGCGGGGGTTCGTTGTGTAAACCCAAGCATTTGCTGCGGAACGCCTTCTTCCTGGTAGGGGAAAGCTGGGAGAATGTTGGGATGGCCTCGGGAGATGAAGATGAAGAGGATGCAGGCGCAGAGCGGTAAAACCCCCATGAAAATAGAAATCTCATATGAATATATATTATATATATACATATGGAAAAAAACATGAAGAATTCCTATTGGAAAATGTAATGTGGGGAACAGGTGCTGGGTCCCAGATTAATCTGGTGTGATGATCTCTTCCACAGAAATGCGACATGTGGCTGTTGGAACAAGGAACTATTCTGGTTCAAACTCATGTGAGCAGCTGACATCATGACAGGTGATGAGGTGATGGTGTCCTTGTTTAGAATGTGTGGTTGAGTCTTCATCCCATCTTGTCCTTCAGGGGCCGGCGGCGACGCTGCGGCCGCTTTGCCCGACCCTGCGGACGACGCTCTGCCACCAATGGTGGCAGGAACACTCACACTGCCGCCATCTTCTGTGGCCGCATCGCCCACATTGTCACAGCGAAATTCGGAAATCCAGGTGGGCCGCGGATGAGGAAGCGATGGAAGAATTGTGGTTGGATGTGGAGGATGCTATCAAGTTTGGTTCCCCCGCATAATCATTGAAAGCGATGGCTTCAATGATGTTTCCGTTTATTTTGAAAGACTTCCCGGGTTTCGATGTTTTCCGATGGCACAGCACACATCAGAGACCTGCAGATGAGGCAAGCCTGCATGAGGGGAAGGCCCTATGTATCCAAGAGCTTAACGTCAAACAACTCACAATTTAGCGGCTTGATGGATATGGGACAGCCTACTTGTGACACGCATCCCCAGTGTTGTCTGAAAGCATACTCTTATCATCCCTTACTTGAAGGATTAAATTGGAGAAGTGAACAATTTGCTATTTGAAGACAGTCGTGGCAAGTTGATTGGCCAAGTCGGGTTCAGGCCCATTCGGGCATAGGAGGACCACCCAGTACCGCCAGAGTTGAGGATTAATTCTTTCTTGTTTTGATTCTTGAGCTGCTAGTTTGATAGGTCAAGCTAGGTTGACATGTATATAAGTCACGCAGAATGGAAGGGTTTAAACTGTCTTGACAGAGATATTTGATCCGATATTTGGGTCCCATATTAGGAAGGCTAAAACCATTACAAAACCTGTTGCATAATATGTGGATGTACGGAATTAAGTAATGTCCTGTTGGAATCTCTTGCTGGAAATTCGCACCAGGTGAACGCCGCGCAAAGTGAGCACAAGGACTGGATGAGCTGCAAAGGCTTCGTTTTGCCTTCGGGAATACAATGAATTTCCCGGCGACAAACCTGATTCTGTTATTGCGTGCTCTCATGGCAAGCTTGCGGACTCTGTTTGCCCCACCAGACTGAGCAAGCCAGGATTTCAACTCACCCAACTGCAATCTGTCCCACTGACTGCTCAAATGAAAGCTATGATAGCTGAAGGTAAACTTATATCCCATTAGAGCAAAAGAACAGCTCCGTTCTGGCGAATTTGCAGGAGATTTTGGGACTTTGCCGCACTCAAAATTTTCTGCAATATGTGGGAAACTCAGCTCAGAAATCGACGCAAGGCAGGATGAAAAAAACTGCGTAGCCTATTTGTAGCAGTGCATATGCTTTTGCTACCCCCATTTGACGTAAGAGTGGCATAGTTCTGTTGAAGAGCATTCTTTGTAGCGACAAATGACATTTAGACTGTTTGGACGACATATGGAGTCTTCCCTGCATTGATGAGTTGTGCCATGGCCGCCCTATGGCCACTAACTGCGCCGTGTTTGTGAACGTCCGGCGCAATGATTTTCAATAACATAGTCACATTTGAGCTGACTTCAATGGTAATAAACATAATTTACAACCTTTTGAGGTCAATCGCCCCTATTTTCTTGACACAAAAGCCTCAGGAAGTATTGGTAAACGCAACTGCTCGATCAATGGTCACACTGATAAGAACAGATACTACTCTTGGAATCCCTTTGGGACTCCCCCTTTGCCTTGTAGGCAAATCAAAAGCTACGCGTGAAATGGCAGGCTCAAGGCTTTGTACCCTTTGAGCGGCTTTCATGATATTTCGCCGCCATCATGGCATTGAACCAACCCTTTCGTCGGTGTCGCCTTTGAAACAAATTCCACGGATTGTGGATTTCGCTATCTGGCCGCTCAGCCGCCGCTGCTGCCGCTGAAGAATCTCCGCTCAGCGCCGCAGAAGCACCACCCAGCGCCGAAGACGCCTCACCAAGCGCCGAAGAAGCCGGTGCCTTTGCGGTGCCCGATCGTCTCGTTAAAGACATGGACGTAGAGCGGGATTGTGAAGTAGCAGGGCCCTGCCCTGGGGTCATTGAAGCCACAGGACCCTGCTCAGGGGTCAATGAAGTCAAAGGATTTGATGATGAACCAGCGGCTCCCAGACCCTGATCTCGACTTCGCGACATCGATCCAGCTGCCCTGCTACCACCAATCTTGTTCGCCTTTGATGCTCCACAACTTCCCCTTTTCTTCACCTCCATCTTTGATTCCTGTGCTTCAGACACCATCAGAGTGCCTTCATCTTCAGACGATTCCACTGACATCCTCCCCAGGCTCGGTCTATGGCCAGACTCCTTGGACCCTCGCAGTCTTTTCAAGCAACACTTCGTAGCACTCTGAAAAAGTTGCCCTGCATAGACTGCCCCCATAGCCAGCAAAAGAAGTCCAGTCGTCCAAATCAAAGAGAAGTCTTCGCCAGCGTCGTTCACCTCTGGGGCACTTTCAGCTGTTGATAGAAGCACGCTTCCAAGACCCATCGGTCTAATCGCTGCATTGTTTCCTCCGCCACCTGCCGCATGATCAGTGGGCTCCTTTTTGGATCCATCAGCTCTCGATCCAGCAAAGCCCAAGTCATCCACAAACTTGAAGAACGCCTGGCCGGCCAATGGTTTGGTGAGCCCGTCCGCCACCAATTCTCTGCCACGGAGGTGTAGTAGTTTCCAAGCACCATCCGGAGCCACAACATCCAGGGCCTCTTTGAGGAATGATGATCTCACTCTCAAGTGCCTCGTCCTCCAAGTGGCGTTTCCCGTCCCATGTGCCATAGAGATCGCGGCCATGTTGTCACCATAGATGACGCGCTCCAAGGAATTCTGGCCCACCGGCTCCTTGAGCATCGAGCAGATCAAAGCTTCAGTTGCGCGACCTGCACATAGAGCTTCGCAGTAACTCACAAGCTCTGCTTCAGCCGTGCTGTACGTCACAAAAGGCTGCTGCGACGACACCCAACTAATTGGAGCTCCAGCGAAGTACACCACCAGGCCTTGAAGACTACGATGACGGCTGCCAGTGCCATAGGCAATGTCTGCAAAAACTTCCAGCAGACGATCATGCCGCTCAACGTGCAGCTGTCCCCTTTTGCCCCACGTTTCTTTTGGGACATTCCGAGGGTAATGTAGACCACCTTGAACTCCAAGCACATACTGCATCACCGCCTTGGAGATTTCCACGGACTTGCATGGGTTCTTTGTTGCAAGTCTGCAGGCTGAGGAGACCGTCATGGCTATGTCAGGTCTTGTTCTCGTAGTCAGCCAAAGTAGAGCACCTGCCATTGATTGCGCCAGCTTCACATCAGACTCTTTGATCTCTCCACTTGGAACTTCATCATCTTCTGCAAGATGGACATGTGGAAAGCCCGTCGCCTGGGTGATTCCAAAGCGCTTCACCATCTCTTGCTCATACTTCTTTTGCCTGATCACATAGCCATCGTTGTTGGAGGCCGCCCCGATCTCAAAGCCGCAGTACTTAACAATTTTGCCCTTCCCCGCCTTCTCCAAATCGGAGATGGCCCAAACTTTTTCCACCGCTGTTGTCAAAGCATCCAGAGCTCCACTTGCAAAGAGAAGATCATCGACGTACTCTGACATCAGGCCTGTCCAGTAAACCACCCCCAAGATCTTGTCGACCTCTTCAATCCTCCAGATGTTCTCGTCCGGGGTCTTCTTGAGGAATCCCAGCACATCTCGGCCTTCTCGTCGGCGATGCCAGCTGATGGTCGGTAAAACTTCATCTCGATGCAGTCCCCAATCACGGGGTGATGTGGTGAGCCCATACAAAGCTTTGTCCACCAGCCATAGATCTTGATGCCCTGCCAGCTGAAGTTTTCGGAGCACCGATGGAATCTCCATCGCAATGAGGCGTTTGTTGTCGCGCCTTGGTGCATTCAAGAAGGCAGTTCTTACGTCTGTGCGTCCAATCTGCCACTGCTTCAGAGCACCAATTCGCACCATTGCCCGAACTTGTTGTCCATCAACTCCACCAGCGTAGTGCTCGTTGTTGTCACTTCTGTAGGCACCGCTGCCTGACTTCCGTGTGTGGACCATCTTTCCAGGAAGTATCTCGGTCGGCAGCTTCATCTCACTTGCCATTTGTTGCAACTGGGCTTTTTGTGATCTGCCTGACGGCCTGTTTCTTGTTGACCAATTGATCATATTCTTGGCGTATTGAGTCACTCCACGCCTCCAGATCAGCCCAAACTTCAGCATTGCCGATCGTCTTCGTCACCAGGAACTCCTGCTCCAGCTTCTTTTGAAGTTCTTCAGCACCATTTGCCCGTGCTTCTGTCAACTGCTCTTCAGTCATGGCCTTCATCTTGATGGCTTCCGTCACATTGCCAAGCCAAAGAGATTGTCCAGCAGTCGTTCAATCCAGCACCGCCACCCCGTCCTCGACGTAGTGCGCCAAGTTGACATGCAGGGTTCTCAGTGCAGCTGGACTTGCCATTCTTGTGGCACTTGATTCATGTGAGGCTGTCGGGCGTGAGCCACCATCCTGACTATTAGGCGCCCCCTCCTCTTCCCCACCTCCGATCCACCAGCCCTCCTCAACATCAATTGATTTTGGAGTCCAGCTGCTTTCAATCGAAGATGTCACTGTGCAAACATTGACCAGCTATCACTTGAGCCCCCATTGTTTGAAGGTGTGGTCGGTTCGAACATCTCAGGGAATCGATTCACAATCTTCTCCTCCCCCTCAATGTCCAACATTCAAAGTAGATGTTGTCGTTGAAGAAGTCATCAAAACCAGAGTCTCGTGCCCTTTCTGAGTAGAATGGGTTCCCAGCTATTGATGTAGTCCCATCATTCACAGCTAAGCCCTTTCCAGTTGGTGGCTCCGAAGCGGCTCTCATGGCGGAAAACCCAACCACAGCCAGTTACGCAAAGGAAAAATTGGGGCTTGGGCTCATAACCCTCTTGAGGTCAATCGCCCCTATTTTCTTGACACAAAAGCCTCAGGAAGTATTGGTAAACGCAACTGCTCGATCAATGGTCACACTGATAAGAACAGATACTACTCGTGGAATCCCTTTCGGAACAACAATTTTCCAGGATAAGGATGGATAAGGAACCATTATGAACCATTCGCATACGCCTTGGTGAATTTAGTAATCCCTTCCCCCTAATACTAAACCCCCCCCTCCCCCCAAATAATAAACACCTCAGGTAGTTTTTATTATTGGGGGGTATTTATTGTTAGGGAACCCTGAGCCCTTAATTAAAAAAAACATATTTTTTTCGATGTCAAAATCATTTAAATTTCCTTATATAACGCAATTAAAGTATTGCCAAGCCCTTTTAACGCAATTAAAATATTGCCAAAAATTGGATTTCGAAGCGGACCCTATTAATAAATTGAAACCCTGAATTAAAAAAAAAATCACGGACCCTAATAATAAACACCCCGGGGTTAACTAGTTTTTATTATTAGGGGGCGAAACCAACAAATGGTAGCTTTATTTTCAAATTGTTTTCTAAAGGGGATCAATTGAAAGTCAAATTGGCCAACTTGAAATTTTCCCAAATTAGAGATGGACCCTAGTTTTTATTATTTGGGGGAGGTTTAGTAATAGGGGGAAGGGATTAAACAGTTTTTCCTGTGCTTGGTCTCTTGGTGCCGTTGCTGCGTGTGCCAGGTGTTGTTGGCCATCCTCTCGGTCCTTCTTTTGCGGGGCGCCGTCGCTCGGCTATTTGGTGTGCTGAGAATTCCGACATATCCCGATGTATTCAAGATATATGGAAACTCGTACCAGTTTGTTTGTTTTGTTCGTTTTGTTCCTTTGGGGTTCTCCCACACTTGTAGCTAGGAGATGCTGGAGATGTGGATTCGTATTTTGAAGCAACGCTCAGGTGCTCAACATGGTTCCAGCACACTCCCTGGGACCCATAAGACTCCCACATATTGAAAAAACCTTGTTTAGGATATGTAAGATATCTGCCCATGAAAACCATGTGCCAGCATTGTCTCATGACAATTGATGAAGGACTGTGGTTGACGACCTACTGCTGGCAAAACGTAAAATGCACTAAACTGCAATAACATGTCACTGGGCTGCTCGTTTTACCGCGAATGATTCACTCTAACTCATTAATCCGAGGGACAAAATAAGAAGAAATGCAGCCAATCAGCTCAACGTCAGGGATACGTCTTGAGTGTCTGAGAATGAATGGTTTGGATGCTACAGCAGACATTTTGGCAACACTGGCTAATTCAAAAGCGGATGATTCAGCAATGAATTCGAGCGGACCAGCTGCAGGATTTAGGAGGGTTTGTGGTTTGTGGCCTGATAAATGTGATTACAGTGACTACATAATTTATAAAAAAAGTTCATTTACATATTCTGGAGCTTCTCCTAAGCCATGTCTGTTCTTTGATTGGAAGGTCATCTTCAGGACACCGACTACTGTATAGTCTTCTTTCTGAGGTCCAACCCAACGTGACCAACGAGTGCCTTGGTGAATTGGGATATGACAATCTTCCGCTTTTGATGACAAACTTCAGACATCCTCAGACAGGTCATTCACTACCTAAAAGAGGAAATTGACCACGAGGGTTCTCTACGTTTGACGGGAGTGACTTCTTCATGATCTTCATGTCTTCCAGAGTAGCAGAAACCCAAGACCAGATGCTGGGTGTTAAACATGTTAAGACTTAAGACCATTGTCTCTGAGGCTGGCAACAACAGCACAATGCCTGTACATGCTGAAGGCAAATTGTTGCACGGTATTGCAGCCATTCAACTTGCACTAGCTTTGCCCAGCAGTTGCAAAAACTGACGCAATGTGTCTGAATCCAAACAAGCTAAGTCCATCCAGCTCAAGAACTTGCATTTGTAGCGAACGAGCACAAGTAGGGCCTTTGGAAACTTCTGAGTTCTGAGCTGGCCAAGCTGTTGTATTTGCAGCTTCGGATGCGTTTCGTGGTGGCCCCATGCAGCCTGTTTGGCGGAGGAACGCACCAACGCGTGGCAGGGAAACTACTCCCGGCTGTACTCTATGTGGCAAGACTGCTCAGAGAAGCAGGAGGACCTTGATATGTACCACATTTGCTGGTCGCAGCCTGATTCTACTGGTAGCACGCCAGAATTGTCTAGCCTGGTGCATGTATTGGGACACTTTCAGACATTTACTGTACGAGATTCTGATAGGTTCTGTTTCTTGTCGAATCACCGGCAGGAAACCATGCGATGGCTCTCCGAAAGGCATTTTCTGGTTGGTTGGAGGGGAAGCCCAGGAGGAACTTTGGCAATGCTAGAGAGTCTCAGCACACCTCAGCACCAGCAGTTTCCTATGGGTTTCCTATGGGTTTCCTATGGGTTTCCTATGGGTTTCAAGTGGCCATTTCCCCCCAAACCCATGAGATTCGCGGCTGCGCCAGGCAAGAGTGCGATGCCAAGGTGGTGGATCTCCAAGAGGAGGTACCACGCCTGAGGTGCTCTGACGGGCTGCGCATTTGGGAAGTCAATAGCCGAGTGGATTTATTGTTGGGGTAAATGGATATAAAAGGGAAATAACATGGATATAAATGACAATGGTGGATGAATGGGTCAACAAACTTGGTGATACTTAGGCCTCAAGCTGAGGATTCAATTTTGAAAAAGTCAGAATTCAAGGCACCTGAAACTGTAAGACTATGGTTCACTTCGGTCAACGGAATGCAAGTTGATGATGACCTACCGTGTGACTGGAGAGCGCCGGCTCAAGCTTCATCATGCCCCCGCCAATTTGACCAACAGGTATGGACAAACATTTGCAGCCAGGAAGCCAATGGTACACCGATGCAGCTGGTGTGATTTGTCACTACGCTCCAGAATGCTCGGAGTCACATGATATGACCATATGTTCCCCCGATATATCCCTGCAGGAACCAAGAAACAATAGGTCCTAGCGGCTAGCGCTTCATATACAACCAATTCTACTCCTGTCCCGCATCATGTCATGCTGCTTGGCCATGGCCATATGGCCATGGACAGCCGAAAGTTGATCTTTTTAGACGTAGCTTGAACAAGGTGGATGGGGCATGCAAGCGCTGATTGCGCTGTGCTCGGTTTGCATATTTGGATTGGTTTCTTTCTGCCAGCAGTCTACTGCCAGTATTCAACCGCCAGTTTGGTTTCTAACCGAATTGGGAATCAGAAGCACAAAGGCATTTCCAATTGAGCTGGGCGAAACAACTTCCAAGAGCGTTCACCCAAACATACAGCCATATCACCCAAGTCAGGCCAGTATCGACTAAAGAATTGAAGGAAACCACAAGAATCTTTGATCTTTTTGGGCGCACCTTTTAGTGTCTTAGTATCTTGTTGCCACCTCTGCTGCCCAGGTAGATGGTGTCCTTGCCACTTCGCGACAGATCCTCGAGCTCGACGATGCTGGCTTGGTGCCACTGGATGCCTCCTGCGTGCAGAACCTGGCAGAGGTGGCGTAGAGCTGATTTGACATTGCAAGATGCGGAGGGCACAAAGGAAACATGTAAAATAATGTAGTAAAACGGCGCACAATGATGTAAAACAATGTAAACCTACGTAGTTTGAAAGAAAAACACGAATTGCTGACTGAGTCAAACACTTTTTAAGCTTCTTGAAGGATTGCTTACAGCTGGTTCTGGCGTGAGAAGAAGATATGCAAGAACGTTCAGAACCTCTCAGGAAAGAGTTTCTTTGGTTTTCTTTGACTCTCTCAGCCGAACCTCCAGAGTTGTTTGGAGGTTGTTCGTGACACTGGTGCAGAGATTGTTGTCAGCAGTGCATGGAGGACTTCCTCACCCAGTAGGATATGACAAGGGGTTCCCAACCCATTGCTACTTTAGATACTTTGGTGCTAGAAAATGGCATAAAATGAGTAGAGTCCAGACTTAAACCCTTCGAGCACAGTAGCAGCATGAAAGTAGCATAACTGCATAACTGTAATATGAAGTATAATGATGTATAATATACACATATAGTACTGTATACACATACACGTTTTTCAATTTTCCCTTTTGACAACCTTTGCCTCGTGAGGAACGATGGGCAGCTCTACCAGCACTTGCTATCCAGTCTTGAAGTGCTAGGCGGCCGATTTTGCTTCAAACGATTGAGCCGCCAGTTGGGCAATTGCCCAATCGAAGAGAAGAATGGACTTCTGCAACTGTAGATTATGTATCTTTTGCAACATAAACAACGCAGGCCACACGAGTAATGACCAACTGGTTGGGAAATGGACATCATGCTGTGGGATCATCCCAACCAGCAAATGAGCGACGAAGTGCAAGAGCTTTATCATCAGGCAAAACAGCCAAGAGTCACAACAGCAAATCCATTCCAGGTCTCATCTGATGGGCTCATGCAAGACTCAATTGATGGCAACAAGGGTTTCTTCTTCAAAGAACCTCCTGCAATGGCAAGTGAAAAGACAATTTTTTCCCCCAACAGCCCCAGCTAATCGGGTCTTCAGCCCAGAATAGCTCCGGTGTGAACTGGTGCAGGCACCGGGTCAGGTTCAACGAGGTTCCGGAGAAGGTTCCGAAGGCTCCGCAGAAGCTCTGGGAGGATTTGGTGTAGAGCTAGGTCAGGTTCAACAGGGTTCCGGAGAAGGTTCCAGAGAAGGTGTCGGAGGCTTTGGTGCAGAGCCAGGTCAGGTTCAACAGGGTTCCGGAGAAGGTTCGAGAGAAGGTGTCGGAGGCTTTGGTGCAGAGCCAGGTCAGGTTCCACAGGGTTCTGGAGAAGGTCTGCAGAGCCAGGTTAGGTTCAACAGGGTTCTGGAGAAGGTTCCGGAGAAGGTTCTGGGGATGCTTTGGTGCAGAGCCAGGCCAGGTTCAACAGGGTTCCGGAGAAGATTCCGGAGAAGGTCTGGGAGGCTTTGGTGCAGAGCCACGTCAGGTTCAACAGGATTTGCGGCCATTTAATTCGCTGAGGTGTTTCCAGCGCTTGGCTTCACAGCACGCTTCAGAAAGATTTGTAAAAATAAACGGTTGCGGCTGTTGGGGATACCACCGAAGCTTATTTTTATTTATATATTATATATTTTTTTTATTTTTTTATTTTTTTTCATTTTTCCCGCAACGGTCACTTTTTTCCCGTTGTTTCTGAAAATCCTCGAATCGCACTGATCCTTTGCCGAAAAAGCTCGACCCCGCCTCAGGCGGACGAGACTTGGCCATGGCGGTGGTGGGCACGACGCCAACCTTGCACCAGGGACGGGGCTTCGAGATCGTGCAGTGGATGGCAGAACAGCAGCTCGGACGTGGATGGCAGAAACTTCAACGAAACTTCAAGCATCAGAAACCATCAGAAACACCAAGGTAGATTTTGGATGATTTTGGTAAAGGTCACTTCCACGTGCCTTCTTCGACCGCATCGTAGGGATCCACTTGGGGCTTCCTTTGCGCCCAGGCAGGTGCCTGAATCGACAAGGCTTGTGATTTTTGACGCTTGGTTTCTTAACGTTTGCTTTGTATGGATCGATTTTGTTGTGGTCGTGTAACAAACTGTGTATTAAGTTGTTGTACACGTTGGGTACATGTTGGCAGCATTTGGCAGATTTTGGCAGCTGTTCCTTCTGGTTGAAGGTAGTCACCAGGTAGTCTTAGCTTCATGTTGAATCCATGCGGTTTGTACTATTTCTTTCTTGACCGTCGACGGGTAGCTTCACCATTTCCACCATTGAAAAAGACAAACTGGTGACTAGCAATGTAGTCCAGCGCATTCACAATCATCAAACATTTCAGGGATATCCTTCTATCATCTTCTATCCAAAAAGCAGTTGTGGAGCAACTTAGTCCAACTTAGTGGGTCAACCTGAGGAAGACAGCCTTCAGCATCACCACAACATCGAAGCAGCTGGACTTGGGGCAGCGTTGGTGAAGACGGTCTTGGACCCGAACCTGGAAGAAGGATTGACCAAGGTAAGAAACCAGTGGCTCCAGTTGCTTCCAGCATAATTTCAGCACAACCAGTACCGCAGTGAAACATGTTTTGCAATTTGCAACTGCTAGATCTGCTAGCCTAAAAAACTGTTGTTTTTGCGGTCATGGGAAGCTGGTTGCCAGCCGGGACTGTTGGTAGTGGACTGCCAGGGAGCTGCCGAGCAAGCGATGCGTCTCTTGGGAGCCAAATGAAGACAGTAGAGGAGCAGCTCCTTCGCTACATCTGGAAACTTTTCCCAAACTTTGTCCCCAGAATATCCCAAAACAGAAAACATACCAAAACTATTTGAAGATCTGGAGTTGGTGTGAACAGAATCAAGAACACCTTCGTGAGCCATAACTGCGCAGCATCATCCAGGAGCTGCTTAGAGCCCATGATGAGAATCTTCACCGGCACCGGAGATGTCGGTGCTCTGCCGCTAGAGGCTGTACAGCGAGCTCACCCATGCCTCCACGCTGGCTGAAGAATGTTGAGGCTGAAAGGAACCCCAACGGGAGCAACCTCGTTATTGCGGGCAAGCTTCCAATCAGAGGAGGCCTGTGAGCTGCAGTGAAGCCTTCGAGTGTCTGCCCATCACTGCGAAAGCGGCAGACAATCCCTGACTCCAAAGTTGAATTGACACCAGGAGATTCTTCAAGTCCAAGCAGTTTAGCTTGGCTCTGAAAAGGGAACCGTTGTAGCCCCATCATGTAGTATAGATGCCGAGTCCAACATTTGCCTGTACAAAGTGTGCTGAGCACAAAGGATCTGAGGTTTTGCAGTTGCACCGCCTGGACTGCCTGGGGACAGGGAAAGCAGCATCTGTTGTGCTGGGCAAAGGCGAAACTTCCGCAGCGGTTTGTGGTCACAGAGGATTACATCGGCTGCTTCACAGCCTCTTTTGCACTACCAGAATCCTTCCGACGCAGTTGAATAATGCAGCGCAGGAAAAGGCAGTGAGCAAGCCAAGCAGCTTTTTTGGACCTGTTGGAAATCAGATGATCAGATGTACTGCAGACTCCCCGGTAATATTGCGTTGAAGCGGACGCATGGATATAGTGTTAGAATGCAATAATTGCGACTCCAACAAAAAGTATCTACAAGATACTTTGCAATCTATTTGATATTTAGCAAACTCCGTGGAATCTACTGGAATGCGCGGTGTTGGGGCTTTCCAAATTCACAGGAAAGCAGCTTACCTGTGATCTAAAAGCAAGTTGAACCATCCCAGCCAGCTATTTTCATTATTTTCGCTACTCGACGCAAGGCAAGTGGCGCGCAAAGCCAAGCAATGTGCCAGACACCAAGCGCACCTGGAGGAGGAGATTGAAGTGTTGAGGCAGCAGAATGGATTCAGAGCCATTCATATCATATATATCCATTAACATAATATTATATACATTATAAACACATAATAATCGTCGAATCGTTAATAGTCGTTAATAGTCCCATCTCACACTATCTGCCCTATCTCACATACACAGAAATGGGATGAACTAGGGCTGCATGGCAGAACAGCATTCAAAAGCAGGTTCGACCCACACGCACACACAACGGAGTTCACCTTCACCGACAGTGGAGATGTTGCACAAGATGAGGTAGCGACTTTAAAGTCCAAAGTAGTGTCTCCGTTGTGATGTGGCTAGTCTACTTTTAGTCTAGGTTATAAGCAATTGCGAGAGGAAAGCGCTACAGGAATGAAAAGCTTGGTTCCTACAAAAACCATATTCTCGCATTGATCCTGTCAGATCTGTCAGCTGTTGGCCGAACTGAAAGCTCAATAGTCCGTTACAACCGTTACAAAGTTTCATGCTCTGCGGTCTTTGTTGTCTTGATCGCGGAACCCAATCCTACCAGCATGAAGGTCAGATTCTGTTAGATTTTTACAGTGCCAGTGTTTGAGTCTAGGGCCATGCCATTGGACACCAAACTGTGCACAGAATTTGGTTGTCGATTTGTGAGCTCATAGTGTCTAATTCTCATTAATTTGGCGTCCATCATTTTGACAGTCACATCAAATGCCTCATTTTGTCCTGTTGCCGCAGGTCTCGTGAGCTTCTTGCTTCCCAGGACTGGATCTGCACAAATCGCGGCGTTGATCAGACCCAGGGGATTGTTGAATAATCTCCGTCCAAGATAGGCTACACTTGTGTTTTTTTCATTTTCTGTAGCTTTGAGTGGAACTTGCAGGACAAAGCCAGGCTACAAGAGTTGTTGGATAATATGCAGGAGATGATAATGAGGCGCGGGCGACCCGGCAACCACTGAACACCTGAACGATGTGGAATCTCGTGTGGCTTGGTGGAGTGTTGATTGTGAGCCGCTGCACGGCTTTTGACAAAGTTGAGGTTGATCAGAACCGTGGGAACAAAAAAGTCGAGTCGAGACGGTTACAAATACTCGACAAAACTCTCCAAAAGATGTAAGTTTGAGTCAAATGCGGCACGCGAGGCCTTTTCATCCAAGGATGATGCTTATACCGTATACCCATCACAAAGACGTTTTAGTTTTGCGTCCGTTACGTTAAAATCACAAACACCTCTGCTTTTTCAGCAGATGAAAGACATGTCTTCAGCTAGCAAGTCATGAACAACCCGGCATACATTGCATTACATTCAAGTCAACCTCCTATACTATTTCAACGCACATGTATTGCTGTTTTCTCGACATGATATCAAGAGCTTGACATACTCGCGCTGTACTCCGTTCAGGGAAGATGAGAGATGCAAGGAGAAGTCCAAGAAGATGCTTCTCGGCTTGCCATGCGCCGTGGGTACGATGTGATGCTGGCCCGAAACTATTCATGTGAGAAGGGATTTTCACTTCCCAGGTTTTTCGGCAAATGGCCTAAAACCCAAAACCTCTTCAAGCATGCAGACATGTCTGGCGATCTTTGGAATCAGTAGAGACTCCACTTGCTGTGAAAAAAACATAGATGTTAAACAGTTTCTTTTGGTACAGCTATTTTTTTTTACCCATCCCACTCACAGTTCAACATTGTTTGCCCAACGCCCCAGGATCAGCGCGGTCCAGGACGATGCAGAGCAGATGGTGGCGGAACTGCGACAGGAGCCCAGCAGCTTCGGACTGTGGGGGAAAACTCTGCTCAGGTCCTTGGAATCCTTGAGAATCCTGGTGAATCCTTGGGTTCCTCTTGCAACTTTGATGGCAGAGCAATGGAGAATGTGTTCAGCATGGTTTGCATTGGACTTGTGTCCCCTGGTTCCCTTTGGCTATCGGAGATATTCTTTGCTTTGACATGTTTTGAATTCATAAACCAAATGCCCAGCCCAAACTGCTCTTCCATGAGGAGATTGCCCAACTGACGGAAGAAAAGGCTGAGATGAGGTGTGGCTTCACGCCATGGGTTTTGTACATCAAAAGGCTTTTAGTGTGATAGTTTCATCTTTGCTGGAAAATTGATGTGACCTTAGCCTCGAATGAAGGAGCAGCAGGTTGGAATGGCCCACTTTGCAACTAGTCCATTGAGGCAATTGTCATGAACAAAGATCTATTGCATCTCCTTGATATAGCTCCAGACGGATCTTTCGAGAAGCTCTTTCTTCTTGTTTGAATTTGCAGATCGTATGATCGTATGATTGTTGTCCAGTGCGGGCCTAGGAGCCCAAATGTTGACATCAATTGACGTCTGATTGTTTTTGCCACTGCAGGGAGCGAGAAGAGGAACACATCCACCGGTATGAGCAGCTCAATGAAGCTCTGCGTGAAGAAGAGCGGCTCAGGAGTGGCGCTGTTACGCCGTTACGGATCTGAATGTTCCCGGCTTGAAATGCTCCTGAGCTCTGTCCACTTGTAGCTTTTCCTTTTTTCGAGAAAAGAATTAATCAGACCCTAAAGATCTAATAGGTACTACAGTAGTACTACATGCTACTATTAAGTCACTAGCTGTGGCAGGAGGGAAGAAAATGCCGAGTGGAAGCAGAAACATGATGAGCTGCGCCTGAGTCTTTCTGCAACTCGACAGAAACACAACTTGATAGCATCTGACAGCATCATGGGGCATCATATAGCAAGGGATTTGGACTCCTGTGGACTCAACGTTTCTACAAAGTATCTTCGTAAAGGAGCACGATCTATCATAGTCCAGAGGAAGTGTTCTGCAGTTGACTAGAAGCTGGAGATGTTTGGACTGTGTTTTGGCATTTTCCTCTATGACCCATGATTTCTTCCTGAATGTTCAAGGCTTTTCCCTGCATTGTTCTGAAAAATGGAAATCTCAGAGGGGCTCATGCCAATGGCATGTCCTGTAGGGCCTCCGAAAAACATTCAACACATTTACCTATAAATACAAGCAGAGCCCGGGCAAGCCGGGTGACGGAAGTTTCGAGAAGGAGAAAGGCCTATAAAGAAAAGGGATGGCCTATATAGGAAGAAAGCCTGACCGCCTGGCTGGCACGGCCGTCTTGACACCGCTTTCGCTTGTCACCATTTTTCTTGTATCCTTTTGTTTTCAGATTGTTTTTGAGACCTCTTTCTGTCTTGACATCTCCTTCTCATTCTCCTTTAAGACCTCTTCTGTCTTGTTATAAAAGTACTTCCCAGTACCACTTCATACAAAGCTTTCACAAAGTACCCCCCAGTACCACTTCGTACTGCAAAGATTGCACACAGTACTTCCCAGTACCACTTCGTACTACAAAGCTTGCACAAAGTACTTCCCAGTACTACTTCGCACCACAAAACCTGCACAAAGTACTTCCCAGTACTACTTCGTACTACAAAGCTTGCACAAAGTACTTCCCAGTACTACTTCGTACTACCAAGCTTGCGCACAGTACTTCCCAGTACCACTTCGTACTACAAAGCTTGCACAAAGTACTTCCCAGTGCTACTTCGTACTACAAAGCTCGCGCAAAGTACTTCCCAGTACCACTTCTACTACAAAGCTTGCACAAAGTACTTCCCAGTACTACTTCGTACTACCAAGCTTGCGCACAGTACTTCCCAGTACCACTTCGTACCTACAAAGCTTGCACAAAGGAGTTCCCAGTACCACTTCGTACTACAAAGCTTGCACAAAGGACTTCCCAGTACTACTTCGTACTACAAAGCTTGCACAAAGTACTTCCGAGTACTACTTCGTACTACCAAGCTTGCACAAAGTACTTCCCAGTACCACTTCGTACTACAAAGCTTGCACAAAGCACTTCCCAGTACTACTTCCTAGTACAAAGCTTGCGCAAGTACTTCC